TTTCCCTTATCAAACTAAGAACAAAGTATGTTTTCAAACAGGCCAAAATTCTTGAAAATGAGTGTTTTGCAATATGTGATATGAAAACTTTATCCCCCCAAAGCAAAAACAAAAGTAACTGCTGCTCAAATGATTTCTCAGAACATGAGATTGTGGCCAATTTAGCATTAAGACGGGTGGGGCCTGTAAGTACTGATTGTTTCTTTAAGAGGCTCTGACAACATAAGAGGGAGGACTGTTTCTCTTTGAGAAAGAAGTAATGATATATTTACTCTTGTATAATAATCCTCCCAGATAAAATAATTTCTCAAGTTCTTACGGAGCTTTAACTTTCAAAACTCACTTTTGTTAAATTCAAACAAATGGCCAGGAAGATCTCAGGTTCTCCTTAACCTCACGTGTCAGCCACCTCAATTTGTGAAAATACATTATCATCTAAATGAAAATGTTTAAAACTTTTAAAACTTTGTTTTCAAGCTAATCAAATTGCAGCAAGTAATTTCATTATCCAGTTTTTTTCAATATTTTAGGATCTTTTGTTAGAGGAAAAAGTGACACCGAATAACAAACAGAGCATCTGGGGGAAATTCATCAAAGGCCCTACTCAAAGTGATCTTGGTTTAGGCTCAATCCCACATGAACTCTTCCAGAAAAAAACAACGAAAGGGATGCAATCAGGGTAGAATATCTAATATGTTCTAACTCTGACCACTTATGGTATTTTTGAAATCCCTAACTTGTCTGTCTGAATTCTTTTAAGAAATAAGTATATGCTTGCAATTCTAGTTAAAAGATAAGTTAAACCATGTAGCTGTGCTATTTATGTTAATAAAAAAAATCTGCTGAAGTTTAAAAAATACTAAAGATAAAATATATAATTAAACTTCGTTTTTATTATCCATGTACTGCTCACATTTTGACTAAGCTCAAACACGGGGCAGAATTAGGTCTCGGTCACAGGAGACCTCTCGCTGCTACTTCCTAGAACGCTGAGATTGGGAAGGCTTTTCTTCCTGGCCTTCTTTCAGCAAAATGGTTTCTGTAACATTTAATTAGGCCAAGGTGTCATTGCAATTTATACAGTTTGATAGCATAGCTAGAACTACCTGTGCCTACCTTTCTTCTGTTTTAGATCACTTGAAAATTCTAAAAGAGAAAAAGGCAATTTTAAAACTAAGAGGGAGTATGGTATGGTGACCAACCATCCCAGTTTGTCCAGGACTGAAGGGGTCTCCTAGGATGCCAGACTTTCAGTGCTAAAATCAAGGACAGTCCCTCGCAAGCTGGGATAGTTGTTCACCCGAGTAAGGACAGAGCCAAGAGTAAATTCTGGCCCTTCCCTTTACCAGCTGTGTGCTCTTGAACAAATTATCAAATTCACTGAGCCTTTTTTCCCTCCTTTGTAAAGTAGGAGTCAAAAACATCTATCTTGCAGGGCTACTGTGAGGGCCCCCAAAATGCAAATACTTAGGATACTTAGCACTGTGCAGTAGGTATTTAGTTCCATTTTTATAAATATCTTTGCTTATTCAATGGTGAGGCTGAATAGACACAAAACACAAAATGATCTCAAAAGGCCAGTTGGTTTAATGAGGAATTTTAAACTACTTCCTTGAGAGACAATTTTAATATTAGTCTTAACTTCTTCACTGAGTCTGTAAATATGCTCACAGTTCTATGTTGATAGGCCGTCATAAACTCAACTGAAGTTAGCACACTGATTACTAATTAGCCTGAATTTCAACATATCTTCATTATGATACTTTTCATGTAGCTAATAGCTTTGCTACATGTAAGATGCTTCACTTTTGAATTTATTGTTTAATTAAATGTAATTATTTTCTTTTGAATGATGTAGTGAATTCTTCTTTTCTAGGAGTCTCCAGTATTACCAGCCTGTCTTGTGATTTTTGCCTAATTTTGGACATTCTGATACAAAAATGCTGCAGCACTTACCCTGCTGTAAATGACCCGAATCTGCAACGTAACACTTCGTCACCAATACAAAGGGGAAATGGCCTTCTCTCTCTCTCTCTCTCTCTCTCTCTCTCTCTCCCCCTCTCTCTCCCCCCCTCTCTCTGTCTCTTTCTTTTTTCTTTCTCTCTCTCTCTCTCTCTCTCTCTCTTTCTCTCTGTCTCTCTCCCCCACCCTCTCCCTCTCTC